AGTTCTCCCACTTAAAAAGATGAGAGAGGCCTGTAATTGGCATCATAGGGAGACCTCAACTATGAGAAACAAAAGGAAAAAACAAATCCAGACAATCACATTGGCTGATCTGGAAAGAATTTATTTGCAAATTATGGTGGAAAATAAGTATTTGGTCACCTACAAACAAGCAAGATTTCTGGCTCTCACAGACCTGTACCTTCTTCTTTAAGAGGCTCCTCTGTCCTGCACTCATTACCTGTATCAATGGCACCTGTTTGAACTTATACAAAAAATAGTGAAGCGCTTAATAAATAAACATATAAACTACATATATTAAGGTGCCATCAGTGAATAAAGTGCTAAACGTTAATATTCCTTGTAAACGCTGGAATATTATCAACCAATATTAATTAGAAGTAGTATTAAACCAACCAAACTGAACTCCTAATTTATCAGTGATAAACACAACAGTGACAATTGATGATATAACTCCACAGAGGTATCCTTATTCTCCTTCACTATTTAAATAAAAAGTGTAATAATTGAAGTGAATAAGTGTATCCAAAAAAACTTTTTTTTAAAAGTGCATATACAAATCATATATATATGTATAAAGCATACATCATATATATATATAAATAAATAAATAAATAAATAAAGTCCATGCAAGTGTAACTTGTGATAGAACAGTGATCTCCACTTCTAGTGCTCAAACACAAATCCTCAAATGGCAGCAGTGCCTGCTCACCTCCCCGCACTGACCCTCAAGGGGCCAAAAGGCTACTGATCTCCTCTATGGCAAACTTTCTCCTCCTCCTCCTCTCGGTAGCTCAGCAGGTGATCCCAAAGTCTCCGCTTCTCCTCCACTCTGTGAAGGACTCTTCCCCGCCGACACACCGGCAGCCCCAAGCTGTCTCCTAACCCAAAACCACCGGCCAAATCCTACAGGGAGACCGCTGCCATCTTGACTGCAGGCAGGAAGTAACCTTTCACGTGAAAGGTTACTTCCTGCCTGCAGTCAAGATGGCAGCGGTCTCCCTGTAGGATTTGGCCGGTGGTTTTGGGTTAGGAGACAGCTTGGGGCTGCCGGTGTGTCGGCGGGGAAGAGTCCTTCACAGAGTGGAGGAGAAGCGGAGACTTTGGGATCACCTGCTGAGCTACCGAGAGGAGGAGGAGAAAGTTTGCCATAGAGGAGATCAGTAGCCTTTTGGCCCCTTGAGGGTCAGTGCGGGGAGGTGAGCAGGCACTGCTGCCATTTGAGGATTTGTGTTTGAGCACTAGAAGTGGAGATCACTGTTCTATCACAAGTTACACTTGCATGGACTTTATTTATTTATTTATTTATTTATATATATATATGATGTATGCTTTATACATATATATATGATTTGTATATGCACTTTTAAAAAAAAGTTTTTTTGGATACACTTATTCACTTCAATTATTACACTTTTTATTTAAATAGTGAAGGAGAATAAGGATACCTCTGTGGAGTTATATCATCAATTGTCACTGTTGTGTTTATCACTGATAAATTAGGAGTTCAGTTTGGTTGGTTTAATACTACTTCTAATTAATATTGGTTGATAATATTCCAGCGTTTACAAGGAATATTAACGTTTAGCACTTTATTCACTGATGGCACCTTAATATATGTAGTTTATATGTTTATTTATTAAGCGCTTCACTATTTTTTGTATATATTTGGCTACTTAATGGTTAAGGTAGAGTGACAGCAGCTGTTAAGGTAGGGATCGTGTCTATATTGAGCGCAGGAGGATACTTGTAAAACCTGTTTGAACTTGTTATCAGTATAAAAGACACCTGTCCACAACCTCAAACAGTCACACTCCAAACTCCACTATGGTGAAGACCAAAGAGCTGTCGAAGGACACCAGAAACAAAATTGTAGACCTGAACCAGGCTGGGAAGACTGAATCTGCAATAGGCAAGCAGCTTGGTGTGAACAAATCAACTGTGGGAGCAATAATTAGAAAATGGAAGACATACAAGACCACTGATAATCTCCCTCGATCTGGGGCTCCAAGCAAGATCTCACCCCGTGGGGTCAAAATGATCACAAGAACGGTGAGCAAAAATCCCAGGACCACACGGGGGGACCTAGTGAATGACCTGCTGAGAGCTGGGACCAATGTAACAAAGGCTACCATCAGTAACACACTACGCCGCCAGGGACTCAGATCCTGCAGTGCCAGACGTGTCCCCCTGCTAAGCCAGTACATGTTGGGGCCCGTCTGAAGTTTGCTAGAGAGAATTTGGATGATCCAGAAGAGGATTGGGAGAATGTCATATGGTCAGATGAAGCCAAAATAGAACTGTTTGGAGGAAAGAGAATGCTGAGTTGCAGCCAAAGAACACCATACCTACTGTGAAGCATGGGGGTGGCAACATCATGCTTTGGGGCTGTTTCTCTGCAAAGGGACCAGGACGACTGATCCATGTACAGGACAGAATGAATGGGGCCATGTATCGTGAGATTTTGAGTGCAAACCTCCTTCCATCAGCAAGGGCATTGAAGATGAAACGTGGCCGGGTCTTCCAACATGACAATGATCCCAAACATACCGCCCGGGCAATGAAAGAGTGGCTTCCTAAGAAGCATTTCAAGGTCCTGGAGTGGCCTAGCCAGTCTCCAGATCACAACCCCATAGAAAACCTTTGGAGGGAGTTGAAAGTCCGTGTTGCCCAGCGACAGCCCCAAAACATCACTGCTCTAGAGGAGATCTGCATGGAGGATGGCCAACATACCAGCAACAGTGTGTGCCAACCTTGTGAAGACTTACAGGAAACGTCTGACCTCTGTCATTGCCAACAAAGGATATATAACAAAGTATTGACATGAACTTTTCATATTCACCAAATACTTATTTTCCACCATAATTTGCAAATAAATTCTTTCCAAATCAGCCAATGTGATTGTCTGGATTTGTTTTTCTCATTTTGTGTCTCATAATTGAGGACTACCTATGATGCCAATTACAGGCCTCTCTCATCTTTATAAGCGGGAGAACTTGCCCAATTGGTGGCTGACTAAATACTTTTTTACCCCACTGTACAGTCTTTTTGAAGAACTCCCATTTCTGTGTTGTGTTCATTGATGTCAATATTCCCTCCCAGTCTAAGTCTTGGAGAACAGCTCTCAGACTTGGAAAATTAGCTCTCTTAAAGTTGAGCGTTTTTATTTTTCCCGTATGTGCTTGCTGTTTACAGCTAACAATAAATGAAATCATGTTATGGTCACTGCTACCCAGATGTTCTTTTATATGGACATTCGTAAGAAGCTCTGCATGGTTGGAGATGACCAGGTCCAGCATCATTCCTAGTTGGGCCTCTATGAACTGGACCATAAAATTGTCCTGTAGTAGGTTTATACATTTTTGCCCTTTAACTGTTCCTGCAGTACCATTACTCCAGTCAATTTACGAGTAGTTACCACCCCCCCATTATTATCACTGTCCCAGCCCTTTCCATCTGTTCAAGGAGCTGTCTCCACCTCCTCATTAACACTGGGAGGCCTATAACAAACTCCAATGATGACCTTTGTAGTACGTCCCCCCATGTGCAGTTCCACCCATAATACTTCAGCCTCATCACACTCTCCATCAACTGGGTCCTCTGAGATCACTTCTCACATAGAGACAGACACCACCACCTTTCCTATTTCCCCCGTCTCTCCGAAAGAGAACCTAGCCAGGAATATGAATGGCCCAGTCATGTGAGGAATGAAGCCAAGATTCAGCAACACCAATTCAATCCTAGTTCTCTTCATACACCAAACCTTCCAACTCACCTATTGTGCTGGGCACACTTCTGGCATTGGTGAACAAACACACTTTCATTCACTGACACCTTGTTCATTCACTGACACCTTATTCACATAGATTTTGTGTATTTTTTTTATTTTCATACAAATGGTACCAATTCCACTGGTTGTTTGTAACATGGGAACTTTCTTCCCACCTGCCATAGCCCTCCCCCCATCTTTCCCCATTCCACCCCCCAATAAGTACTGACCCATCTGATCTGTCTACCCCATTATAATAGAATTCTCCCTCCCCCTCCATCCTAGTTTTTATATACTCCTCCAGCCTTCCTATAAACCCCTCCCCCACAACATCAGACCCCCTTCCATTTAGGTGCAAACCATCTCTAGCACATAGGCTGCACCCCAATGAAAAGTCAGCCCAGTGCTCTAGGTCAGGACTCCATTTTTATTCTTCTCCTGCCATCAATGGGCAACCCGGTCCCACACTTCATCCATGTCTTTGGGGACCTCTGATCTCCTTATGAACTGTTTCTTCCATGATGAAGATCAGCCATGGAGTATATCTGAGGTGTATATCAGGGTGTGCTTCTTCCCCACATGAGAGCTGGGATGTCCAGCAACATTCATCTAGAAGACATTTCCTGCACTCAAGGTACTAATATACCTCCAGGGTTGTGTGGGACCCCTGATATACAGGAAGACAGGATGTCAGTGAGGAACATTTCCCTCACTCAGGACAGGAAAGTGGCTTCACCCCTATGTGAGATCTCTGATGTTTGGAAAGACCAGACTTCAGTGAAAATATTTCCCACACTCAGAACAGGAATACGGCTTCTCCCCCCGTGTGAGATCTCTGATGTCTGGAAAGATTGGACTTCTCTGAAAAACATTTTCCACACTCAGGACACGAATATGGCTTATCCCCCGTGTGAGTTCTCTGATGGTTGTGCAGACTTTTTCTTCTCTGAAAAATATTTCCCGCACTCAGGACAGGAATACGGCTTCTCCCCCGTGTGAGATCTCTGATGTCTGGAAAGATTGGACTTCTCTGAAAAACATTTTCCACACTCAGGACAGAATATGGCTTCTCCCCGGTGTGAGATCTCTGATGGTTATGCAAACTTTTCTTCTCTGAAAAACTTTTCCCACACTCAGGACAGGAGTATGGTTTCTCCCCCGTGTGAGATCTCTGATGTGTATAAAGACTGCATTTCACTGAAAAACATTTCCCGCACTCAGGACAAGAATATGGCTTCTCCCCTGTGTGATATCTCTGATGTATGAAAAGTCTGGACTTCACTGAAAAACATTCCCCGCACTCAGGACAGGAATATGGCTTTTCCCCCGTGTGAGATCTCTGATGTCTGTTAAGATAGGATTTACGTGAAAAACATTTCCCACACTCAGGACAGGAATAAGGCTTCTCCCCCGTGTGAGATCTCTGATGTTTGTAAAGAGAGAATTTATGTGAAAAACATTTCCCGCACTCAGGACAGGAATACGGCTTCTCTCCCGTGTGAGATCTTTTATGCCTATTAAGATTGGATTTACATTGGAAACCCTTCCCGCACTCAGTACAGGAGTAGCTCTTCTCTGTTGGAAGGCCGGCCCGGTCCCGCACAGTCTGAGGTTCCTCAGGATACGAGGAATCCGATGGTCCATCTACACTGGGTGGTGCCGGATGGACATTGGAGGGAGCCGGGTTTTCTCCTGGACTATACTGTGTGATGTCCTCATCTTCTACTTTCCAGTCTGGAGACAAAGTGAGACAATCCTCGGAGGTTTTCCTCATCTCCCGGCCATGGACTAAAATACAAAGACAAAGAGGATTACTAGACAGGAGCTGATTGGGTACCCCAAACCAGGACTCCGCCCACATCAGGCAGCTTGATCTCTGAGGAGCTTACAATTCCACCCTCAAGGGAACTAGGAAATGGCTCCTCTGATCTTCTACCAGGTCATTTCTTTATTCATGGACCTTAGTCAGAGAGTGAGGAAATAACCAGAACTGTCTTTTATAGGAGGGACAGTGATGAGAGGTGTGACGGGAGTCACATTGGGTTGGGGGCCCATGGAACCCAGCTCACTTAGGAGGGGTGGGGAGACCCCTGTCTCAGCTCCCCATATACTTTTATGTGTAAGTCACCCTGTGCCTGTTAGGGGTACAGGGTGATCTGTCCTAATATTGGGGTGGGGGATTTGATTGTTTAATGCCATGTGGTTGCATCCCATTGTTCTATTGTGTGTCTTGCTTGGGAGCAAACTATTATGGGATGTGTTTATGTCTATTAGCTTAGTGGGGGTGTCTCCAGCAGCCCTCCCTCCTGATGGGACTGTCTGCTGGTGTGAAGTTTGAATACCTGTGTGTTTCTTGTTACTAAATGTAGAATGCCCCACCCTGTGTCCTTATGCAGGGAGGGGGGACTGTCCCCTGAGTGTATAAAAAGCCAGTTTGAGTTTCAAATAAAGAGTTCCATGTTCAACAGACTGGTGTCGTCTAGTCTTGTATGGTCAGCTGTGGTGTCTGTGGTCGGTGTTCGGACGGGGAAGAGGTATTATAATGGAAGTACCCAAACGCAGTCGGGGTCTGGTTCTGTTACATTGGTGGCAGCGGTGGGATTGTGCTTCCTGGATGTGAACACATCCAAACCTCCACCGGGATCCAAGGTTCGGATAACAGGAGAGGAGAGACAGATACCACCCACAGCTATGGAAAACGGAGGTCTTATGGCGGATGCAGCAACTGCTGGCTTACTTAGACGATCTTGTTTCTGCACGGGATGAGCTTGGATGGAGGAATACGTCTGTCCAACAACTGGATGAGGGTATGGAAGATGGAGCAATCGGCTCATCCTTCCAATTACAGATCCCAGGATGTATGGATCTAATGGATTTTTCACTGGAAGATGTTATGGGTGATGAGGCACCTGCCAAAGTGCTGGCACTGGGCCCAAGGGCCACCAGCCTGTGCCCTGGACATTTAGCCATTCCACAGGCTGGGGATTTGATAGACTTCTCCGCTGAGGAAAAACCACCTGGTGAGCCTCCAGCAGAAGAGCTGGCAACAGGGCCAAACATTGCTGAGCTCTACCCAGGACCAACAACAGCTTCAGTCTCCCTGAGAGAGGAGGCAGCCGCCCTTTCTCCTACACCACCGACCGGGACATGGGATTTCCTGCCAGCAGCATCTTTGGAGGTAAAAGAAACTTCTCCAGCTGAAGCGCTGACAACCAGACAGAGGGTCCAGGACCTCTTCCCCACACCTGTGGTAGTATCAGAGGCCCAGGGGGAGAAGGGAGAGGAGGTTGTTGTCCTCTTTCCCCCACAGGCAGCCAGAGTGGAGGGAACTGTCTTCCCTCCCAAGCCAGGATCTGTGCACCAGGGGGACCGTGACAGAGGAATGTAATCCCAGCAGCAGATCCACAGTCTGGGAGTAGAGGAAGCCGGCCTCCCTCCCTCATGGTTAGCCGGAGCAGATGTGTGGGGTCCCCAGCAGAAGTGCTGGCAACAGGACAAACCACTGCTGGCCTCTGCCCAGCAACTACAAACACTACCTGGATACCCCAGGGATGCTGGGCAGTTGGCCCAGATCCCCAACAGCATGATGGAGCCGGCCCAGCCACCCTGTCTTCTCTCCAGCGGCTGAGAGGACTTCAGATAGAAGGACCAGCCCATACTTCTCCCCAGAGGTGGGTATGTTCTACGAGAGAGGCAGAGCTTGGCTGGGTGAGTAATGCTTGGTGTGGGACAATTTGTTTGGGGAACTGTGTGGGTGCTGGCACTGGGGGACTGAAAGTATAGACTAACTTCAAAGTCCACCAGTCTGGGGTCTCCTCCTGCATTAGTCTCCTGCCAAAAGGGAGATATGTGACGGGAGTCACTTTGGGTGGGGGGCCCATGAAACACAGCTCACTTTGGAGAGGTGGGGAGACCCCTGTCTCAGCTCCCCATATCCTTTTATATGTAAGTCACCCTGTGCCTGTTAGGGGTACAGGGTGATCTGTCCTAATATTGGGGTGGGGGATTGTTGATTGTTTAATGCCATGTGGTTGCAACCCATTGTTCTATTGTGTGTCTTGCTTGGGAGCAAACTATTATGGGATGTGTTTATGTCTATTAGCTTAGTGGGGGTGTCTCCAGCAGCCCTCCCTCCTGATGGGACTGTCTGCTGGTGTGAAGTTTGAATACCTGTGGGTTTCTTGTTACTAAATGTAGATTGCCCCACCCTGTGTCATTTTGCAGGGAGGGTGGACTGCCCCCTGAGTGTATAAAAAGCCAGTTTGATTTTCAAATAAAGAGTTCCATGTTCAGACAGACTGGTGTCATCTAGTTTTGTTTGGTCAGTTGTGGGGTCTGTGGTCAGTGTTCAGATGGGGAAGCGGTATTATAACGGAAGTACCAAGCACAGACTGGGTCAGTTCTGTTACAAGGGGATTATAGGATAAGATTCCCCACCCCCTCTATCATTCATCGCCATCTTCCCAACACAAGAAGTTCTGCACTTCCTTATTTAGTCCATGATTTAGTCATGAAGAACAGCAGGGCTGAGCCCCACCAGAGGTCAGAGAGTGAGGATGGGGGGAGAACAACCAAGATGAAGACTGACTGATCCTGAAGACCACCATCATTGGGGTATTGACTCCTCCCTCATTATCACTTTCTGTTTAAGGGTCCAAAGTTGGAGGATGTTATCACATTATTATCACCATGTAAAAGTCTGTGCTCCAATCACATCATCCGATATAAAATGTCCAGCTGGGAGGAAATGGGTGCAAAAGAAAGCTAATGCAATTTACAACTTATTATATAGGAGTTAGGACTATACAGTTCAGAATGATATAATGTACAAAAGTATACAGTGTGTAAGGGTCAGGACTCATAATATTGGTATTCAGTAATCAGTGGAAGATTAAATATTTACTGTAGACAAGTTGCAGAGATCCCACACCGCTGCCTCCCATCTCCTGAGACTGCACTCAGTGACTTGGGTCTGAGACACTACAGACATATCCCTCCACCCGGCACAGCCAGCAGAGACCACAGAGCAAGGAACCCTGGGAGAAATGTTCTGTCAGAGATCTTACTAGACCCAGAAATAGGGAAGAAGACTCAAAGCACACACCCCAGGTGCCTAGGTCTAGTTACACTAATGGTGAAAATGAACATTTTTCTGCCAGCTGAACCCCAGAACCTCCATAAATCCAGTCTAGAGACATAAATTGTGTCTGCAGCACAGAGAAGGAAGATTATCCGAGAGAAATCCAGGAATACAGGACGGGGAACACAGCTCAGGAAAGTGACCAGGGGATTACAGGCTGATATCACCCAGTCCCCGCCCTACTCTGGACCAATCAGTGAGCAGTATGGGTGGAGGAATGGATTTAGTGTTCATGACCCACCTGTGCTGATCTCTGTAGGAGTGTCCTCCTCTATAAATGTCCCCGTTATTCCATCCTCCTCCATAGACTGCTGATCATCCCTCACATACGCCTCTTCTTCTTCTGCTTTCACCTCAAATTCTATATCGATTGGATCTCCACTCTAAAATCAAGGAAATGAGAGAAAATATCATCTGTAAAATGTAAGATTTGTTATTGTGACATCACATAAACTGTCGCAGTATGAGAGCCTGCCAATTATTAATCCCCTTATTAATGCCTTGTATCACATGCCCTCAGAGTCCTGCTCTGTATTCTTCCAATTGTCCCGTGTCACTAGGCCAAATGGTCTAATTAAATTACTCTGGACCCCTCCTCCCTTCCCCCTTCGTGCACAAATTCCTGAACTCTCTGGACAGGACCCATTGCCATGGTAACCCGACAGGAAGTATCCGGTTACCAGCTCAATACTTAAGAGAGAGCAAGGAAACCCCCCTGTGTGTTTCTCGTGGCTGTGTGTGAGGAAAGGCTGTGCTGAGCGCCAGCTCCTCTCATCCCCCGTCTCCTCCTCATCTCCTGGACTGTCTGTGTTGCCTGGAATCCCTGCACTGTGGAGGAATCTTCTGCTGTCCCCGTGAATCTGCCTGGATCTATCCCCTGCCTGGAGTGAACCCCTTGTTCTCCGTGAGTACCTGCTTCCTCACTGTTACCTGAACTGTTACGGTGGTGACTCCTCGCACCCCTCTCCTGTGTCGGACTACCCCTGTTACAGGGACACCCCCTTGGCTCTCTCCTAGTGGACTATAAGTGGGTGGGGACCCTCGTTACCATTTAGTGGCAAATCCACCCTCTCTGCCACCCCCCGTATTGAAGGACTGCCGTCTGTTTGTCTCAATAAAGCTTTGTGCGTCTGCCATCCACTCTGTGTGTTCTGTCCTGCCTTTCCTCCGTCACATAAACAATCCACACATTGTCTCTACAAGTCCATGTTCTAGATGCTCCATCCCACCAACCTTGTAATGGTGAGGGATGGTGTGACCTTCCTGTGTGGAATCCCGGGAATACAGAGGACGGGGACATCTCTCTGGTGGGTTCCTGGTATTAAGTGGCTCCATCATATCCTTGTGTCCTTCTGAAAACTCCTCCATCACTCCATACTCCTCATCCTCCTCTTTATACTCTTCTTTAACATCAATATTATCATCCCCGAGGATTCCACTCTGAAAGATATAATAAAACATTCATTGTAACAAACATGCTGTGTATAAATCACAACTACCAATAATTGTCATCATCTACCTGATGATGGTGAGGGATGGTGTGACCTTCCTGTGTGGAATCCCGGGAATACAGAGGACGGGGACATCTCTCTGGTGGGTTCCCATGACTGGATCCATCTGTAGGAAACACACACACTGACTGAATCCATTGTTTCTATGTGTTTATCAGATGATGGGGGATCTAGGTGGATCCTCCGTACTGCTCTCTCCTTTACAATAAAGTCTCCTCTTACCCGGTGATGTGAGGGGCGGCTGATTGTCCATCATGACGTCCTTGTAGAGGTCCTTGTGTCCTTCTAAATACTCCCACTCCTCCATGGAGAAATAGACAGTGACACCCTGACACCTTATAGGAACCTGACACACACACAATGATACAGTCACCATCCAGACACATCCCTTGTCTGTTACTGGAGAATGTCCCAGAATTCCCGGCACCGCTCACCTCTCCTGTCAGCAGCTCAGTGATCTCTCTGGTGACTTCTAGAATCTTCTTCTTCTTTCTCTCTTCTATCAGGGAGGGAGGTGGAGGCAATGTGATGTCATATGATCTCCAGACTTCACAGGAGGAAAAAACTCTACATCTGAACACAAATAGTCACATCAAATGATATTCCCAGAATCCTCCTCACCCTCTCCATTCAGCTCTCCATTTTATTAAAGCCCCACTTCAGGCTGAGGTATAATTCCCCCCCACAGGACCCCCACACTATGCAGGGTATAGGCTTGTTGCAGCATTCTGATGTCATTACATACAACGCAGGACCAACAGTCCCACTTTACATGTGAGGATACCAAGGGGCCCCACATCCTAAGAGCATCAGAAAAATGCCAGATGGAGGGACATTGGGAGGAGGAGCTGTGAGGTCAGTGTGATGTCATAGGATTCTCTGACTCTGGATGGAGGGACATTGGGGGGAGGAGCTGTGAGGTCAATGTGATGTCATAGGATTCTCTGACTCTGGATGGAGGGACATTGGGAGGAGGAGCTGTGAGATCAGTGTGATGTCATAGGATTCTCTGACTCTGGATGGAGGGACATTGGGAGGAGGAGCTGTGAGGTCAGTGTGATGTCATAGTACATATAGACTCTGGATGGAGGGACATTTGGATGGGGAGATTTGAGGGGTCCTCTATATGAGGCTCCTGTATAAACCAAGTAATTGATCCTGGGTGCGTCCTACCTCTCCTAAACTGAAGAGTGAACTTTGACCTTTACCATCCAGAAATCTGTCCGGGAATCTGTGGAAGTAAGCTGTCATGTGATCATGTGACGTGCGGAGGAACGGAGTGTAAATAGCAGACAATTGTCTCCAGAGCCCCTAATGGTGGGGATGGATTTGGCGGCGTGCTGGTGCCAAGTTTCCTCCCCCCAGGGTCACTGCAGGTGTGGAGAAAAGCTGTGTAAGAGGATATGGAGGAGAGATGAGGAGGAGATCCAGGAATCAGGAGAAAGGTCAGGGCAAGCAACAGACGAGCGCATCCAAGAGACCAAGCCGGGGTCACTACACAGAAAATCAATCCAAGGAAACAACAGGCAGGACGAGGAATAGCAAGAAGGAGCTGAGAGACAAATGAGAATATTGCTCAGCCAATGGGAGATGATCTCAGCATGACTTCCATCATGAAGGAGATGAGGGGGAGGGGAGGAAGTCACTGAAAGGTGACCATAGATCCATGGAAATTCAGCTGGTTCAGCAGGGATCGCTCACATTTCCATCCATGTGTGGCCACTGCCGGATAAAAGCCACTCCCCCAGCGGCTGCAGCCAATAGCTTCAGTGCTGATCTGTGTATTCTGAGAGCGGAGGAGTCCCCCCATTGTCAGAATACAAGAGTGCAGCGGGGAGGATTCCCCCATCCACTCTCAATGTGTGGATGGGGGAATCACTTCAGTTTTTATGGTCATCCCGCTGGCTGAACGATAAAACTGAACCATGTAGGCCAGCTTTGGGAGCAAATATATTATCATCAACTCCTCCCCCTGAAGGGGTTCATCTACGTATTACCTCCTCTGCCGCCAGATCCAGGAATGACTTCTCTTTACTTCCTCATTCATGGAACTTCCTGTCTGTTCCTGACATCACTTCCTGTCTGTTCCTGACATCACTTCCTGTCTTTCTTCCATAGAGACTTCCTGTCTGGGTAGAAGTGAGATCCCCACCTTGTGGAGCTCAGAGGAACTGCAGCCCCGAGAAGCGTCTGGTAGTGTGACCCCGGCCTTGTGCTGGGTGTGTATGGACTGTAGATCCTTATAGAGGGGTCACCTCCACTCCCACCAAGGGGGACAGAAATATATGACTGCTCGGGGGAGGGGTTTTGGCCCCTTTGATTTTGCAGTAACATTGATGGCAGATTTAGTCCTGTAGAACATCTGGTATATGGATACAAAGCCCCCCAGCTGGGAGTAAAGGGTGGAAATGGCTGGTGACCCCCAGATTTGGGCAATGATGTCATCACTATAAATGGATAAAACCCGCGCTATGTGTAACAACTCCAAACCTACAAAAACCTTCTAGCGGACTGCTGCTGTAACAAAGGGAAGGATTCCCTGTCATCTAGAAGAGCATTATGTGTCACAGCGCTGTCCTATTGTGTGTGCACAGAAATCATCACAAATACACTACAAATATGTGGAGACATTCAGAGATAAAGAGCTCGGGGCTCCAAATCCTATTCTCTGCACATCCACTGCTTCCACTTTACACCCACTTCATTGGTCTTATGGGGTTTTATCAATAAATGAAGGAAACTGAACCGTGTGCAAATCCATCCACAACATAAAGTGCTGCTTTGTGCTCAAGATGCTGCTCCCTGCACATCCACTGCTTCCACTTTACACCCACTTCATTCATCTCATCAGATTTGCTGCTATAGGAAATCATCTCAAATCCTGTGCAAATCCATGGAGACAGACAATATTGTGTGCTCAGTATAGTGTTCTCTGCAAGTCCACCGCTTCCACTTTGCATCTACTTCAATCCACTTATTTTACTACAAAAATCCACCAATCAGTGAAAAGTTGATAAGGTGTGAAAGTGCTCCGCCCTCCAAACTGTGTCAGCTGTAGTGTAGCCCCGCCTTCTTCCACCTCTTGTACACGGGATGGTGAGGGCGCCCCCTAGTAGTGCTTCCCCCTCACCACACCAATAGGACTCCCAGCTTTTCAGCTCCCAGAGTCAGAAACATCCTTCACACTCTCCTCATCTCCGATGGTAAAGGAACCGGATCCTCCTCGCTCACTCCTGCAAGTCTGCTGCGGGTTCTGTCAGTCTCCCTCCTAGACTCCGCTCCAATCCGCCATTCCAGCAGGAGCTCCGCCTCTAAATACACACTCAGGGAGGAGAGAAAGGGGAACCCGACATCATGTGACACCTTTTATTACATGGAAATACGAAAATCAACGGGACTAATGCAATCACATTTACTGCAAAATCAAAGGGGCCAAAATCCCTCCCCCGAGCAGTCAGGCTGTAGGAGATCCGCTGAGACATAGAGAGGGAAATGGGAGCTAATAGGCTGCAGGAGATCTGCTGAGACATAGAAAGGGAAATGGGAGCTAATAGGCTGCAGGAGATCCGCTGAGACATAGAGAGGGAAATGGGAGCTAATAGGCTGCAGGAGATCCGCTAAGACATAGAGAGGGAATGGGTGCTAATAGGCTGCAGTAGATCCGCTGAGACATAGAAAGGGAAATGGGCGCTAACAGGCTGCAGGAGATTCCGCTGAGACATAGAGAGGGAAATGGGAGCTAATAGGCTGCAGGAGATCTGCTGAGACAATGAAATGTGTATGAAATGGATGGATGTGCAGACACTACCAGAAGGATGATGTCTATTATGACTGTATGGATTGATATTATTATTTTTGCATGGTGTCCCCCCAGAAGGATCAGGTTTGGCCGGATCGCTTCATTAGCTATACATTTGTTATTTGTGTTCTGTGTTTGTAAGACTTTTCTATATGTAATAAGAGATGTTTGTTGAACTGTGTTGTTGGTTGGACATTCCGGTAAGAGAGTTACATTTATTTCTTCCTCTTTATTCAGTAATAGTTTATCTGCACGTTAGTTATCCCATGGGTCGAAGAGGTAGAGAAGGAAATGGGCACTACTAGGGCTGCAGGAGATCACGCTGAGATGTAGATAGGGAAATGGGAGCTAATAGGTGCAGGAGAATATGCTGACGACATAGAGGGAATGGGTGCTTAATTAGGCTGCTAGGAGATCTGCTTAGACATAGAGGGAAATGGGGCCTAATAGGCATGCTCAGGAGATCTGTGGTGAATAGAGAGAAAAGGGGTGCTTAATACGGCGGCAGGAGATTGCTGAGCCAAATGAAATGTGGTATGAATGGTAAAGGGAGGTGCCAGACTCGCCCAGAAAGAATGATGTCTTATGAGTGGATTGGATATTTATTTCCCAATTTTTTGTCCAGCCATTTTTGGGGTTTGTGTGACTTATGTCAAATTTGCTTTTTTTCCTCCCTTTTTTTGTTTTTTCCCAATAACCCCCAAAAGGGAATAAACATGTGTATAGCAAAACATGTGTTAATGCAATAGTTTCGTGAGAAATACATTTTTTCTGGAGAAAATATCAAGGGTGAAACAATTTCGGCCAGACTGTATTTTTTGATGTCCCCCCGAGGTAGGTTTGGCGGGATCGCTCCATTACTTATTTTTGTTTTTGTGTTTGTGTTTGTAAGACTTTTCTTAGTAATAAGAGATTTTTGTTGAACAGTTGGTTACTAAGGTTAATTTATTTCTTCTTCCTTTATTCAGTAATGTTTATTCCGTAGTACCCCGAAAGGGTCATATTATCAGGAGGGGGATTAGGGATGGATCTGGGGCTGCAGTTCCTCTGAACCCCACAAGGTGTGATCACCTATACTACACGGGAAAGTCCTATGGAATGCGGACAGGAAGTGATGTCAGGCACAGATCAGGAAAGTCATCTGGAATTATAAGAAGGAGGTGTTGTATACCATACAAAAGTGAGAGGAGACCGCTTGCTGGAATGGCAGCAGAGAGACTGGTAATAAGATGTTATGTTCCTATTTACACACCGGATAACCACAGTCATTGTCTGTCCTCTTCTCAATAGTCTCATCGTCCGTCCTCTTCCTCCACACGGCCACGTCCCGTCCTCTTTACCACCCACACGGCCACGTACCGTCCTCTTCCTCCAGGCCCACGTCCGTCTCTTACCTCCACGGCCACGGTCCGTCTCTTCCTACACGGCCACGTACGTCATCCCCTTCTCGCCTTCGTGTCACTGTGTCGCTGTACTATTTACCGCCACGGTAACGTGCCGTCTCTTCCGCTACACGGTCTACGTTCCGTCCCTCTTCCATCCACTCGGGCCCGGCCCGCCCCTTTCCTCCACGGGTCATTTTTTCAATTCAAAAACATATTCTAATCGTCGTCCTCTTCATCCTAGTCATGTCCGTCCCCTTCCCCCAAGTCACTGTGACGTCTTTTTTCTCCGCAGATGATGATACACA